TCCGCTGGACCCGCGAGCACCCATCGAAAATGGGAACAGTTTCACAGATCGCAGCCCCCCAAGGACAGCGAGGTCTACTTTGCATCTGCGTAGGACGTCACCTTGCTGGACCCCCAAGCGGCCCTCGAAAGTGGCGACAGTTTCACAGATCGCAGCACCCCAAGGATGGCGAGATCTAATGTGGATCCGTGCACGACGTCACGAATTATGCCGGGCCCCCCAGCAGCCCTCGAGAGCAGAGACAGCTTCGCAAATCGCAGCCCCCCGAGGATGGCGAGGTTTTGAATCCACGTGGGACGTCACTCCGCCGGACCCCCCAGCAGCCCTGGAAAGCTGCGATGCTGGACCCCGAACAGCCTGCGAGAGTGGCGACAGTTTCGCAAATCGCAGGCCCCCAGGGATGGTGGGTTCTCATCTGATTCTGCGTAGGACGTCACTACGCAGGACCCCCAGTAGCCCTCGAAAGTGGCGACAGCTTCACAGATCGCAGCCACGCCAGGGGTGGCGAGGTCCAATCCAAGTATGCGCAGCACGTCACTACGCGCCCCCCCCAGCCCTCGAAAGTGGCGACAGTTTCACACATCGCAGCCCCCCAGGGATGGCGAGGTCTAGTCTGACTCCATCTGAATCCGCGCGGGGCGTCGCAATGCTGGACCCCCCAGCAGCCCTCGAAATCGGCGAAAGTTTCACAAATCGCAGTCCCCCACGGATGGCGAGGTCGAATCTAAACCCGCGTAGGACCTCACTACGCTGGACCCCCAACAGCCCTCGAAAGTGGCGACAACTATCAGATCGCAGCCCCCAGGGATGGCGCGGTTGAATTTGAACCCGCGAAGGACGTCCCGACGGCGGGCCCCCAGCATCGCAGCCCCCCAGGGATGGCCAGGTCACGTAGAACGGCAGGGAGCGCAAGAGAGGAGAGGAGGAGGGAGGCAGGAGGAAGGGGAAGGACGCGACCCCAGTGCCCCATCCAAAACGAGCGCCCAGCGCAGGAGGGCTGAGGAAACATAGCTTCAAACAAACATATCGACCTATATATCTATATATATATATATATATATATCCGCCGATCCGGCGTGTGAGTTGGGGGGGGGGCCGGGGGGGCTCTGCCAGGGTGTGGGGGGGGGGGAGGTCTTCCACAGATTGGGTTCGGTTGGTCGGAGTTCGGTTGGCCAAAACGGGCCCAAACGTTGCCAAGAAGCCGCCAAGACAGGCCAAGACGTTTCTGGATCGCCCAACAGTCCATCCAAGACGCCGAACATGAACCCAAGACAGCCCAAGAGGCCGCCAAGACGCCCCCAGAGGGCCCCAAGAGGTCTCCCAGAAGGGCCCCGAGCAGCCAAAATCATCGATTTCCTTTAGGAAAACCTACATGTTTAGCATGTTCGCCTCTTGGGCCGTCACAGTGTCCACAACGGCTCATGGTGCCCTCAAAAAGGCTCCAAGACGGCCTAAGAAGGGCTTACGCAGGCCCAGGAGGCCCCCAAAACGGCGCAAGAGGGACCCAGGACGGGCCCAAGAGGTGCCCAAAAGGGCTCCAAGACGGCCCAAGAAGGGCCCAAGACGACCGGGAGGCCCCCAGGAGGCCCCAAGACGCCCCCAAGAGGCCCCAAGAGGCCCCAACTCGCCCCCAAGGACCCCCCCAAAGGGGTGTGGCCGGGGTAGGTCTGACGGAAAGGAAAGGAGGGGGGAGGGAGGGAAGAAAACATTTTTAACCGACCATTTAATTGACTCGTCCCGCCCGCCACCCTGGGGAACCCCTTGTCTTATTGATTTCCACATCCCGAGTATGTTCGGGAGGGTATCCGAGACCTTCCCCAGATCGGACGGGACCCGTCCCGGGACCCTCCCCAGGACCCTCCTCGAGACCGTCCCGGGACCCTCCCCAGGACCCTCCACCAGAACTCCTCCCCGGAACCCCCGGGCACCTCCCCGGAATGGAACGCGCTCTTGGATGTCCCGAGCGGTCCCGGGCGCTCCCGGCCCGTCCCGGCCGTCCCGGGCGGGGTCCTGCGCGGTGCCAGACGCGGTGACGGGCAATCACGAGAGCGATCCTGGACAGTCCCGGGCGCCACATCTTAATCACCATCACAACCACCATCACCATCACCAGCATCATCATCAGCATCAGCATCAGCATCAGCATCCCCATCACCATCACCATCGTCATGATCGACATCATGGTCATTGCCACGATCAAAATCATCATCCTCCTCCTCCTCCTCCTCCTCCTCCATCATCATCATCATCATCATCATCATCATCATCATCATCATCATCAGCATCATCATCATCATCATCATCATCATCATCATCATCATCATCATCATCAGCAGCAGCAGCAGCAGCATCATCATCATCCTCATCATCAGCATCAGCAGCAATCATCGCATCAGCATCATCACATCAGCATCATCATCCATCATCACCACCACCACCATCATCATCTCTCTCATCATCATCAGCATCAGCAATCAGCATCATCATCATCATCATCATCATCTCAGCAGCAGCAGCACACATCATCATCATCATCATCTCATCATCATCATCATCATCATCATCATCATCATCATCATCAGCATCATCATCTCATCATCTCATCATCATCATCATCATCATCTCATCATCATCATCATCATCATCTATCCATCATCATCATCAATCATCATCATCATCATACATCATTCCCACATCATCATCAATCATCATCATCATCATCATCATCATCATCTGGAGCTCACCCGGATCGGCGGCACTGGCCGAGGCCATTTCAATATATATATAATATATATATATATATATATAATATATATACTAGAACCATCGCGCGCGCTTCGCGCGCGCGCTCAGGTTCTAGCCCAGGCGGGGGGGGCGCTGGACGATCTTGGACAACGCTATCAAGCACAGGCGCGCGACGGCATCTGAGGAGCTTCTGGGGTGTTCCGCATGCTTCGTCAACTGGCTGCTGGAGGCACCTCTTGGGTGCTTCTTGGGGGGGCGTCTGAGGGTCCCTTGGGGGCATCGGTTCTGCAATCTGAAGCCGTCAGTGGCCGTCTTGGCTGCGTGGAGGCCCGACTTGCTGCGGCCAGATTGAGGCAATCCGGAAGCCTCCCGGGGGCCTGCTGGAAGCAGTTTCGGCGCATCGAGGGCTCTCTTGGGCTATTTTAAAACCTCTTGGACGTCTCCTAGGGGCCTTTTAGGCCCTCGGGAAGCTTTTGGGGTCCTCGTCGGACCACTTGGGGGCCTCTTGCGGCCTCCTGTGAACCTTTTGGGGGGAACGCTCTGCTGTTGGGTCGCGTTCCCCTTCTTGGGCCTCTCTTGGGGCTCTTGGGGCCCTCTCGGGCCGTCTTGGGCGCCTCAAGCACCGTCTTGGGGCCCTCGCGGGCAGTCTTGGGGGGTCTCTTGGAGACCTCTTCCTCTATGTTGGAGCGGTATTGGAAGCCTCTTGGGCCGTCTTGGAGCATCGGGATGCCAAAAGGCAGAAAAAAAAACATGAAAACCCGTCAAAGCCCAATCTTAACACGATGAGTTGTGCCTCTTGGGGCCATCTTGGGAGATTTCTTGGAACCTCGTCGGCCCTCTTGGGAGTTTCTTGGGGGCCTCTTGGATCCGATTGGGGGCCTCTTGGGACTTCCCGAGAACCTCTCGGGGTAGGAAGCTCGGATTCTCAGTTCGTGTTTCCCTTCATGGGCCTCTCTTGGGGCCGTCTTGGGGCCCTCTCGGGCCGTCTTGGGCGCCTCAGGCACCGCCTTGAGGCCCTCGTGGGCCGCCCAGGGCCCTCTTGGAAGCCTCTTCGGCTATCTTGGAGCTGTCTTGGAGGCCTCTTCCTCCTCCTCGTCCCCCTCCTCCTCCTCCTCCTCCTCCTCCCACTCCAGCTCTCTCTCCTCCTGATCTTCCTCCTCCTCCTGCAGCGTGTTCCGGAAGGCTCCCGCTGGAACATGCTGTGCACAAGTGCTGTCACTGCTCCCGCCACCGTGCCCTGGGTGGTGGGTCAGAGGCCTCATGGGTGTTGGTTTGGATCTCGTGGTTGGCCTGTCGGGGACGTCGTGAAGGCAGTTTCGCAGCTTCTCGGTAGCCGCTTTGGGACCGTTGTGGGCCCTCCTCGGGGCCAACCAAGGAGGACTGGGAAATAGTTCAGAATGCATGTGTTCGTCTAAGTTTCTCATATTTTCATATGTTCGACAATGCTTAAATATGTGCTGATATTTTTCCTCGCGAGATTCCAGGGACACCCGCCACAAAAAAATCACACACAAGAACGGCATGGTTGCATACATGTTACAATATGTTCACATATATTTGATATGTTGTAGTGTTTGTCCCCGCGGGATGCGAAGGACTCCCGTCGTCAAAAAAACATAAAATAGTTCAAATGTATGTTGTCATGTCTTTGCTGATATTGTTTCATATTTTTACTTGTTGGACTTTTCTTCCTCGCGGGATGTCATGGGCCCCCAATATCATAAGATAGCAAAGAGTGAAGATGTCTTGCGTGTTCTCCTAATGCTTCATACTTGTGATATTTTGATATTTCCCCTCTCGGGGTGCCAGAGGTTCCGCCCGCAAAAGAAAGTCGGTGGTTCAAGCCCTGCTGTGTGAGGCCCGGAGATTGGAAGCTAAGGGGGGGAAGTCCCCCCTGGGCTGCCCCCCTCCCCTTGGACCTCCCCTGCCGAAGCCCCCTCCCCCCTCCCCCCCTTTTTGTCCGCCCCTCAGAAGCTGCCCCCCCCCTCCCCCCTCTCGCGCGCCAGAAGCTACCCTTGTGGATGCCATGACAATGGGCACTCTAACAGTCCTATCACACTGAATGAAAGATGTGTTTCAAATGTGCGAAACATGTTCTCAAAATGTTTCCGACATGCTTTAAACATATTGAAAACACATTTGAAACATGTTTTAGACATCTGGAAATTATTTGGCAGCATGTCGACTTCCACAAAGCTACCCCCCCCTCCCTGTCCGAAAAGGAGGGGGGGGAGGGCTTGGCTACCTGGCGGCGCCTCCAGGGAGCCGGTGTGCGTCAGCAGCCCAGCCTCCGTGGGGAGCGCGCCGTCACCTGGGAGGGCGCGGGCGGCCCTGAGGTCCTGGCGTCTCAATCTTTTCTCGATCCAGGCGTTGGCGCCTGTTCTTCGGGCCCCGTGACCCTCACAGGTCGATCGGGCTCAAAGAGTGACGCAGAAAGATGGGGTCCAGGGCTCCGGGCGTGACTTTGTTGCAATGTTGCGTTTTTCCGCCACGTCGGATCTGAGGGGGCGTCGAGGGGGGGCGGCGGCATCTCGGGGCGCGAGGCGGAGGGGGAGGGAGGGAGGGGGGAAGGGCAAGTTAGGTGCGCTCGCGTCAACATCTGACATCCTACCCCTCCCTCCCATCCCTTACCATGGCGCTGATTTTCTCTATCCGCGGACGCGTGTCGTAGCGGACCTGTGGCTCCGCGCGCGTGTGCGTAGTGGGTGCGCGTGCGTGCGTGCGTGCGTGCGTGTGTGCGTGGTTGTGGTTGTTGTGGTGGTGGTGTATGTGTGTGTGCGTGTGTGCGCGTGTGCTGTGGTGTGACGTGGTGTGGCGTCTTGGTGGTTTGGTGGTGGGCCAGGTGCGTACGTGTGTGATGGCGGTGGTGGTGGTGGTGGTGGTGGTGGTGGCGGTGGCGGTGGTGGTGTGTGTGAGTGTGTGTCTGTGTGTCTGTGTGTGTGTGCGTGTGTGTGTGTGTGTGTGTGCGTGTGTGTGTGTGTGTGTGACGCGGATGTAGCGTTGTGGGTGGTGGTGGGTGGGGTAGTGCGGTGGTGGTGGCGGTGCGCGGTGGGTTTTGCGGCGTTGCGTGCGTGCGTTTGGTGGGGGGGGGGAAGTGGCGGTGGGTGCGCGTGCGGCGGGGGCGGGGCGTGTGGCGGCGCGGTGGTGGCGGGCGGATGGGCGCGCGAGAAAGCGTCCCGCGCTGGGGGCGAGAACGCCATCATGAACGAACGGAGGCAAAACACCGATCCGAAAATGGGCCCACGCTGCAGCGGGAGCAAGATTCGGAACGATTCGGGAGCAGAAATGAGGCCGGCTCCTCAGCGGGGAGAGCGCATTTTGAAAAAAAAACGCAGCGAAAAAAACCCAACTCCCGGAATCCTGTCGTGTAAAAAACAGTTACGGCGGGGGGTGGGGGGGTCGAGGCTACTTTCAGGCAGCCTTCGGGGGAAGAGGGAGAGTAGTATTCATATTGAGTAATTGTAGAGAGGGAGGGAGGGAGGGGAGGAGGGGGGGAGGGAGGGAAAAAGGGACGGGGCGGAGGGAGGGAAGGAGGCAGGGGACGGTGAGGAGGGTGCTGACGAGGAGGGTGAGGAGGATGAGGGTGAGGATGAGGATGAGGATGAGGATGAGGATGAGGATGAGGATGAGGATGAGGATGAGGATGAGGATGAGGATGAGGATGAGGATGAGGATGAAGAAGATGGCATGCCGATGTGGTGGCGGCTAGAACATCAAAGCAACACAACCTTTCAGTGGCTCAAGGATTCGAGGATATCAGAGAAGGGAGGAGGAGGAGGAGGAGGTGGAGATGAAGGAGGACCAGAGTAAACGCAAGATGCACCAACGATGCTGCAGCACAACCTCAAGTCCCAAGTCCCAGCCCGAAATCCATACAAGCTTTCCTCTCCACCGCGGGAGACGCCCGACTTCAAGAGACGAACGCCCCGTGGGCCTGCATGCAACTCAGGCGATGCCCTGTGTTGGAATGGACCCGCCTTCCATCCTTCCAGCCAGGTGAAACACCAAAAGGTAGCGTCATGGAGTTCAAGAAAGGGTCGAGCGATTGCTCCGTGTGGAAAAAGGAGCCGCTCTCCCTCCGTGCAACGGTTACACGGCATGGAACTTCTCGTAAAAAAAAGTGTGTCACCGTGGATCCCGAACATGAGGTTATTACACTGGGGATGCACAAGCTCTAGGATGCAAGCTGCGTGTTGTAAACTAAGTGGTGCCATGCATGTGGTACATGCATGTGGTGCTAGCTGCGTGGCACAGGCTTTGTGGAGCAAGCTAAGTAGTACAAAAAGTGTGGCGCAAACTACACTGTGCATTAGCTGTGGCGCAAGCTGAGCGGTGTAAGCCGCGTGGTGGAAGTCGTGTCGTGGGAGGGTATGTCTTGTAATGTATGTGGCGAACGCTATGTGGCAAAAGCTTTGTGGTGGAACATATGCGGTGCAAGCTATGTTGTGCAAGCTGTAGTGCAAGCTGTGTGGTGCAAGCCATGTGGTGCGAGCTGTGCGATGCAAGCTACGTGGTGCCTATGCGGTGCAAGCCCTGAACATCGATGGCATACGCCCACGAGGCGCCAACGACCAGCCACGGGCGGCAACGTGGAGAAACCTCGGCACACCGATCCAGCACACGAAGCGCCCACACAGGCGGCAACGGCCGACAACGTGGCGAAATCTCATCAGCACACCCATCACAAAATCCTCGTAAGCTGGCCGAGAAGCCCTGAATGCAAGCACTCCTTGGAGAATTCGGGGAGATCTCAAGCAGGAGCCCCATGTTGGAACCAGGGCTGGACCTGACCCTTGTTGTTCGTTCTGTGTTCGTTATGTTGTTCCTGTTTTCCTGTACCCCCTGCCAAAAGGAAAACAAAACACTGCCGAAGTCCAGCCAAACAGCGTTTAGGTCCAGGCCTGGTCAAAAGAAACGCCCCCAGTCCGTGCACCCGATTCAAACAGTTTCGGGCGACGCGAAGGCCAGAGCCCCTTGTTTTGTAAAGACCGCACGCCCTCCAATCCGCTGCAGCAGGCAGCTGCAGCGCGTGCAGCGCCAAGGCGAACGAGCCCCTTCTGAAGAACAACCCCCCCCCCCTTTCCTCCTCCTCCTCCTCCTCCTCCTCCTCCTCCTCCTCCTCCACTCCTTGTCCTTCTCCTTCTAGATAACTCCTCCCTGTCGCACCCCGAGGCCAATTCTTAAGGCGGGCCGGGCGTTTCGTTTAAGACATCCTCACCACGTATGACCCTAAAGCTTAAAAAATTGGCAACAGCTTCCCGGATTCAGGCGGGTCGTTTTCAAAATGTCGTTTTCGCCTTAGCGCCGCGCACACTCGTTTTAAAATTTGCAAGAACTTCACGGATTGAGGGCGTGTCGTTTTCGAAATGTGGTTCTCGCCTTGGCGCCGCGCAGATTCGTTTCAAAATGTGCAAAAGCTTCACGGATTGAGGACGGGTCGTTTTCACAGTGTGGCTCTCGCCTTAACGCCGCGCACATTCGTGTTAAAATTTGCAAGAGCTTCACGGATTGAGGGCGGGTCGTTTTCAAAATGTGGCTCTCGCCCTAGCGCCGCGCACATTCGTTTTAAAACTTGCAACAGCTTCGCGGATTGAGGACGGGTCGTTTTCAAAATGTGGTTCTCGCCTTGGTGCCGCGCACATTCTGGATACAACATTGCAAGGAACCCCACCGATTCCCATGGTCGACGTACCAGAAGTTGTGTTTAGGAAGGGTTCACACATTCGAGGGCGCAGCAGCTACGATGACTCGCGGAGTTGAAGTCCCAAGAATAGCGTTTTGGCGCGATTCAGGGCCGTCAAGACGCAACAGTCAGGTTCATCCGTGGCGTTGGAATCCCGAGACTGTTTTCTGCCATGCTTCAGGGTCTTCAAACGGTTGTCTTCCAACGAGACAGGCCCCCCTGTGGAAGTGAACCGTTGCAGGGGCATATGAGGGAGCTGGGGGGAAGGTTCATTCCAACATCGTCAGTGACTCTTGCGTTTACACTGGTCCTCCTCCTCCTCCTCCTCCTCCTCCTCCTCCTCCTCCTCCTCCTCCTCCTCCTCCTCCCCCTCCCGTCTCCGAAATGTTGCGAGGCCCATCGCAAACGGTGCCTCGGGCGGAGCTACAGGCTTTCGCAACTTTCCTCGAAAGTACCTCAGGACCCGTTCACTTCGTGACCGACCACAAGCCGTTAATGGTGGGGTGGAGTCGGGGTCGACCTTGGAGCTTGGGGAGGGGAGGCACAGCGATCTCTGGCTTCGAATTCGTTGTGCCATCGACGATCGAGGCCCTGGCCCTGTCTCGGTCGAGTGGACGCCCTCCCATGGGTCTCCTGAGGATCCGTCCCTCACCGATCACGAGATGTTCTTGGCTAGTGGCAACCAGTTAGCCGACGATGCGGCCAGCGATGCTGCTGAACGCTCCTGGACCATAGCCGCCACTTCCGTTCCAGCTACAAACGCGTGGGACCGCACGGCAGCTTTTGTTCGACGGAGAGCTAGGCGGCTGAAGCGTCCCTTGTGGACCCCAAGGGGCCTAAAGTTGCGTCGGAGATCGAACGACCAAGGCCCGCCACCCGTCTTGAGCTTGCCGCGAGGGTGAGTGCTCATAGATTCGTTCCCGTGGGCACCTCTTTCAGGTGCCAGCGTTGCACTTTCATCTCATCCAAGCAGGGCCTTCTAGAGGCTCTGAAGTCCGAGTGCTGTTCGCCGCAATCCGTTCTCTCGGGGTTCCCTCGGGATGTGGTCCTGGCGGCCCGCGGTGGTCTTTCGGTCGGTGGGCGGGCTCTCGACCCCTCCCACCGTTTAGCGCACTGGGGCTTGCATTCCTTGCACTTTTGCCTTCGGTGCGGTCGCACCGCCACGGTCGACGGCCGACAATTAACAGGCGAGTGTGTAACCCCCTCCCGAAAGGCGGGGGGGAACTTGAGCCGCATCCAAAGAGGCATGTTCCCCAGTTTTGCTGGACCCTCTCGGGCCTCACTGGCCATTTCGCACGAGAGGATGGTGGCTGCGTGCGCCGCCAGGGATGCAGCACAGCGTGCCAGGGGGGCAAGCCCTGCACCCACCCACTCTCCCACCTCTTCTTTTGGGGAGGGCGGGGTGTCGGGGGTGGCTGCGATTGAGTAGCCATCTGGGGTGCAGGTGATTGGCCTCCCTTTCCTCCGCTTTCCCCTCTCATGTTTCGCACGCTGTGTTTGCCAAGAGGTCCAAAAAGGTCATCGTCATCCTCCTCCTCCTCCTCCTCCT